AGAGATATAAGACAGAAAACAAATATAGAGCAAGATAGAGAAATTGAAGCTCTATCCGAATATATAATTACTTTATCAAAAAGATAATTCTATAATGATAAAAAATTGCAAAAACTTATTTTGACAACACAAGAAATATGAAGTCTCGGGGAATCTGATGATGAGGGTGCCTTCATTGTACTCGACTTATCTTAATGATATAAAGATACCAATTATAACCTAAATACATAGAATGATAGAAAACTCCAACAGCTTTCAGAATATGCCATTACATTTTTAAAAGGACCCATTTATAGTGACAATATATCTAAAATATCGACTGTCACTATTTTTGTCCCCCCGTATATATTTCCGTAAGATTGAATTGAAACTATTATGTATTTATGCTTTTTTAAGTGATATTTCAATGAAATTTCTATAAAATCAAATATATGAATATATTCTGATTGAATAGAATTTTCCATTATTGATAGATAAATTATTTTTAAATAATCTATATTAGAATTTACAAGTCTTTTTTCAGTTCTTTATGAATTTTCTTCTTATGTAAATAGAATCAATTTTTTTCTTAATGTTTTAAAGCCAAATATTCACTTTGCTAGTATGATATAACATAGAGCGAAAAAGAACTTTCTTAAAACTGAGTGTCAGAAGAGGTAGCATGTTTTGTAAAACTCGTGAGTTTTTTGAAATAGCATTCTTTATTTTAAAAAGTTTATTTATTTATAAATATAGCACAAAATTTTGTTTTTCTGAGTAATATCGCTAAATACAACATCAAGGTATCTAATGAAATCATTTCGGAAATTTTTAATCGACTTGCTACTACATAATGACATTGTAAAGAAAATATCCCTTGGAGGGAATCTTCGATCTTAAAAGACCAAAAAAATTTCAAGCAAGTCTTATATTGAAATAGAGAACGTGAAAAGTTTATTGATTCAATTCGTTGTTTAAGTAACAGCAAACAAATAAATAAGATTACTCTAAAGAAAAAAAACCTCTTTTTTACTGAATATCCCCTTCAAGGAATATTCTGTATGTGTGTGAGTAAAAAGAAATATTTTTAACTATAAAATAATCATAGTGAAGGTTTAGAAGCTCTATTATAATGATCACCTTTCGCCCATTATCAAAAAAGTCTTCTCGGTTCTAAAGAGTTAATATTGAAATTGAATTATTCATAAAAGTCTCTAATTTTATTCTATTTTAAAAATAAATCAATATAATCTTTGATGCTTGTTTAATAAATATATCCATAAAATTTAAAAGAAAAATTCATACTGTTAAACAGTTTAATAATTAAAAAAATTTTTTTTAAATGTCTATACTAATCTGTCTGTGTGTTTATTAGTTAAAATAAAAATAAAATATTGAATGTTACTAAATATCTAAGAAAAAATCTGCAGGGATAAAAAGTACTATAACGAGATTAAATATATTTTTTTTTTCTAAAAAAAAAAAGTATGAAAGTCTAAGGTCGTGTAAGGTCATAGAAAGCTTCAATAAGTGCAGCTGAAGACCAGGCTTGTGAATAATATTAATGTGGACAATATCGTCCATCAGCATTTGTTAATTCTGGTAAACCTTTCCAATCACTTGAATATAATAAATCCATCAATGATGATAATAATTTTCTAATATGTTTTATTGTTTGTTTAGAAATATTTTGATCATCTTGTTGTTTTGACCAATAAAGTTTAGCTCGAATATAATAACCAGTTAATCATAACCATTCTGGACCATTATGATAATTAAAACCACGTGCTCGTTTATAATCATATGAATCACGATCATTAACATAATCTCCAACATAATTAAAATCACTAAAATTTTAGTTTTTTTTTAATTTAATTTAATTTTTAGATTTTGTTGTTTACCTTGGATCAAGTGTTTTAATACCATATTTTTCTAAAAGAATTGTTTCAACTTGTTTTAATGCTAACCATATATGGTTTTTATCAAACATTTCTGGTGCCTTTTTAACAAAAAAAAAAACTTAATTTTTGAATAAAATTAAAAAAAAAACTTTCAACATACAACAACAGCAGCAACAAGAAAATTTGGTCTTAATTGAAAATCAGACCATTTAAATGTTGTATTAATTGTATCTTTATATATTTGTTTTCTATTAACATATTGCGATGTATTTGTTTCATCAATCCAAAATTCTTTTTCAAAATTTTCATCGATTTTATTTAACCATTCAGTAAAAAGTAATTTAGTTTTTCCACTTGATCCTTTAAATTTTTTTTAAATAAAAATAAAAATAAATAAAAGAATTGATGCTTATATCTGCCCACAAGATTTTTGTTTGTTTGATTATTTTTTTATTGAAAAATGTGAGGTTAACAAAACAGTATGAAAAACTACATTAGAAACTCAATTTTTTATTGTAAAATCTTTTCCATAAAAATTCGACCTGTAGGGAACTACGGGAAAATATTTCAAGAATAAAAGACTGAGGGGGAGTAGGGGACAAATTTTCATGGAAAAGGTTTTACAATAGAAAATAAAGTTTTTAATGTAGTTTTTTATGCTGATTTCAAATATTAAATCCATTTTACACGAAAACCTACTATAATGATCTCCCTATAAAATATTGATATTTTTGCAAATATTAAAAAAGTTCACGCAATGATTTCGTGTTTCGTTATCTTCACATGAGTCTTAACTCTTATCAAGCAAATGAGTGACCTCATTTATCTGGAAATGCAAAAGACATCAGAACGTAATCAACGAGCTGGGCGATAGCCATTAAGTCGAACACATTATGAAATGAGTTGCTCAGAACACAGAATGAGTTTAAACTACTTAAAAAGAAGTTCGAGAAACGAGGACATACACTTACGACTAAATATAATGAACATAAATTCAAGCTCGAATCTATTCTGTCTTTATTATCGATATAAGTGCAACAACAACACGAAAGTTTGAATTCACTTTTTTCAATCATCAAGGAAGTTATACCGATTGTAGCTAGCTCATTAGTAGTTTGAGAAAAAGTCTCCAATAAAGCAGCAACTGCTTCAATTGATCTAACTGAAAAATCCACTTTCGAAGCACTTACTTAACAAATTTTCACCTCAAGCTCCTATCTCAACGATCAGAATGACTTTCTTTCAAGTAAACAATTGGAACTGCTCAAGTACTTCAAGACGAATTCACAATTGATGAAACGTGAAGTAGAATTACTATTACCAATCAATGAATAAAGACTCTTTTAGTTTTTCTGAGCTATATATATCTCTTTCTAAGTGTGATTCTTTTCTTGCCTCTTCTCATGATAAACTTATACTTTCTGAAATGATCAATGAATGGAACTCTCGTGCATGTATATCTAGTCATTGTAAAAAATGGCGAAAGGAATGCTCTCCTAACCATAAAATTTCTAGTTTATTAATTCTTTGGTTAAATGTAGAAGGTCTAAATACTCATGTTGACGACATAGATATATTATTAATTGAACACAAACCAAACATTTGCATTCTTACAGAAGTGGGACTGCAGTAAAACAGCTACCAGATATCGCAAACAGGAATGAACTCTTTTGAAAATGTTGCTTTTTTTGTATCGAAACCCTTCGAAATGCAAAGTTGTCGAAAAAGAATTAAATTTTTTATTGGTAGTGGTTCAAACAGCGCGAGAACCCACTCTTATCGGGGCAGTATATGTCTCCTCAGAAACGCTACCACCTTTTCGGCTATTTAACAGATGTCGGGATAAGCCATTTTACATTTTGGGCGACTTTTATGCTAAACATACAACGTGGGGGATGTAAAAAAAATAACACCAGCGGTGTTCACACGTTTAATTAGTTGGAGTCAACGGTCAATGAGCTCATTATACTCAATAATTTTACCTCCCGACGATCTGATTCAATCATAGACTTTGAAATCACCCACAACTCGTCGGGATGAAATACAGAGGTACTTCACGACGCTACGTCGGATCATTGGCCAATACTCCTTCAGTCTCCCATAACAATAGAGAAGGGTGCTTTCTTTCGGCAAACTAACTAGGTACTATTTTCATTATTTCTCTTAACTCTATAAATATTGGAACGCACTCGTTTACAACTTCGATACGGAAAGTTTCTTCACTCTTTTCTCCACATTTCTTTACTTTCTTCTTGACAAAAAATCGTTGATATACTTGCGAACCATTACGAGATACATTTTAATTAACCACGTCACGATATATCGAATACTATACGTTAGCAATCGATACCTATTTTCGAGAATCTGACATATGTACCAGCAATACCGTTAGATCAAATAAAACTTGAGGAGGTAATACGTGAATGGAAAAAGCTTTTATCCAAGAAATCGATCAATAGCGTTGGAACCTCTGCTTTCATTTTAAAGAAATTACCTGTCGAATACTTAAGTATAATCAGCATACTGTTCGACAAATGCGCAATGAATGGAGACTTTTATACCGCAGACAAAGTCGTAAAAGTGAGTTGGTTATCTAAGGATGGACTATATCCTACTGTGAACAAGCTAAGACCTATCTCGCTTCTACCAAACATAGGCAAATGGTACGAACGTATCATACATCATAGAGTGTTCAACTGGTGCCACGAACATAATATAGCAGTTGATGAGCAGTACGGGCCTACGCAAGGGAGACGACTGCAGAGAAGAATTCTCTCCTTAATCGAAAATCTACGTCTTACAGTTGCTGCCTGCAATAAACCAACATTTGATCGTACGTGGTTTTTCGTCCTTATTGCTAATCTAAGCGACCTTGACATGCTCCTACTACTATTGAAATGCATACACTCATGGTTGCAAAATAGATCCTTTACAATCTCATTCGACAATGCTCATTCTAGAAATACAAAGATGAACGTCGAAGCACCCTAAGGCTCAGTATTGGCTGCCATCTTATTTAAGTTACACGTTCATTTTCTTCCATCTTTCTTCTTTGGTTTCACAACACATATGTTCGCTGATGATCTAGCCATAGTATTAATAGGATCATTGGAAAAATGCTTCTCAGAGAATATTGCTGAACTAGAAAATCGTGCTAAAGAGGTGATGAAACAACTTGAAAAATTTTCTAATAATTATTTACTCACAGTAAATGTGAATAAAACAAAAGCATTACTAGTACATAACATTGTTTCTTCTAGTTTCCCCAAGCTGCAGTACGAAGATCAGAATATCGAATATGTCAATATATTCAAATATCTGAGGGTATATATCACTATCAAACTTGATTGGAATACTTTCATTAGTAAAAGACTGACAAAAATAAGAATAACATATAAAGCCTTACGAATAATTCTTTGCTCAATTCCATTCACTTTGATCTCCATACATCGAAAAATATTTCTGTCTTTTGCTTTACTTCATTTCTGTCGACTTTTCTGTACATAATTCTACTTCACAGAAAATCAACGAAAATTAACAGAACATGTATTTTCTTCAGGGATATGAATAATGCACTCGCTTAGGGGATGGGACGACATAACAATCATGATTTTAAGCAGAGACAAAAGCCTACTGGACTACTTATACTCTTAATGATGTCGTTTTAGTCGTCACCTTGAGAAAACAACCAATGCATTTGAGTTTCAAGAGTCCTGGAAAGCTTTCAAAATAACCACGTCGCCTGACAAGTCATGGTATCGCTCTATGGAATTTAGAAAGAACAGCATCTTTCCGAGAAGATTAGCGGACCCCGCTCAGCACAGTGGGCAACTTTCGCATAGCAGGCGGACATATAAGAAAATTTGACTTTCTCATTAACTATAGAAAAGGTATATAGGCTTTTCGATGAGATCTTTTGAATGGCATTCTCAAAAACTTATTAGATTTCCATTTTCATCGTTTTTTTGGAAAAATACAAGGTTTTAATGAAGTTTTTCATGATCAATAAGTTGCATCAACTGGAGTTATTCCTTATAATCAAAGAATTATCATGAGTAATTCATTACGATCACGGTCGATATACATTAGAAGTGTATTTATAGATTCACTGTTCAGCTCTTTTTACTTTTTGTTTTATTTACAGCTTTTTTTCGTTCTTTTTCACATTTTTTTT